CTGGTACCTATTCATAACACATCCCAGTTCCTTTTTATCATCCCTTCCCCTCTCCCCTCTTCCTGTTCCCTCCATCTCTTGATTCCCTTCCCCACTGAGGATTCCTTTCCCTATTTCGTGTTATTACCTTTTATTTTGCTCTTTTTTTTTTTGTTTGTTTTTGTTTTTGTCTTTTTGAGACAGGGTCTCACTATGCAGTTCAGGCTGGCCTCGAGCTCACTTTGTAACCCAGGCTGGTCTCTATTTTGCTCTTTATTAATATTTTGCGTTTCTCATATAAAAGAAACTATGTGATATTTAAGCTTGTGTGTCTGATTTATTTCACTTAACATTATTGTCTTAAGGTACATCCTTTTTCCTACAAAAGACGTTTTATTTTATCTTATTTTATGGCAGAGTCGTACTGCATTATGTGTGGCACACTTCTAAGATTCAGCTATTATGAAATGTACAAAAAAGAGGAAAGGGGATCAAGGGCTTGGTGGAGAGGGAGTGGAGAGAGGGAAAATGGAATGAAAAGAATTTATGTGTTATGTACATGTACCAACTTCCCACAAGGAGTGTAAACATGTATTAAACACGTGCACACATAAGCTGAAATAAAAAAAGATGAGATTACTAAACTCTAGAAGTAGATACATCCCCTGTAGCACCATGGTTTTGTCGTTCCCTCCATTTCTTCAATGTGGAGACTTAGAAAAGAATGGGAAAAAAAGGAAGTTTTGACATGGCTATGCCTAGGAAAAGGAGAATGAATTATATGATTATTTGATTACTGAATCTAGAGAAATCTAAATGCAGAACATAATCAGCCCTCTGGCCTTCATGTCTCTTAAAAAACCCAAAACACCAAAGTAAGTAATCTTTGTTTACTCAAACTTGTGTTTTAACATTTGGTTCTGGCATCAAAGCTGCCTATAGCTACCAATATTCTCAGTAGGCTGGGTTTTGCTCTTTCTGTATCTCTATCCTTCTTTCTTTCTCCCATCCATCTCTTCTCTCAAATCACCATTTCCACTCAGTTTTACACTGCAGGCTCATAGTGGCTACAGATGGTGGTCTCATGGAGGCCTTTGGAAAAATTTATTAGATCTACTAAAATTAATCTGCTCCTACAGACATTACAAAGGAGAATTTTGGATGGAGACACCTAGCTGATTTCCTGGAGCAATACCTTGGGGATTTTCTTTGGCTCTGAGAGGATGATATCTTAGGTTGTGATATATTTGCTGATCTTGAGGAGATAGTTAAAACCATCTAACATATGCAGGAAGCTTGGGCTCTTGGCCCAATCGGCTCAGGGTCTAAATATTTGGAAGATGAATACTTGGAAATACATTTGAACATTTAAAGCATTTTATTTGTTTTTCCAGTAAGTCTCATTGTTCAGGGGATCCAATTCTGCAGCAAGACCGTATCTGCTGAAGATGTGAACCTTGTGGACAAGTCCAGGCCTGGGCCCCACCTTAGGTCTTGGCAGGAAGCCAGAGGTGCATGTCTGCTGGCTAATGTCCACACCCTGAAGTGGGTTATTATTATTGCAATCCCTTGCCTTCAACACCTGTGCTTGAAAGTAGTGCTAAGGGTCTGACCCTCAGCAACTCTGTTCTAAACTAATTCTCCTGTAAAACCTGGAATAGACCACACACACACACACACACGCACACACACACACACACATTTTTCAAACCAATTGCTGCAATAGTTCCCATCTGTTGTCAATGCTGAATCTATACTACTGTCACCAGCGCTTAATTCGAACTGGTGTCCTGTGGTCAGTTCTTGTCTTCAGCCTACCAGGTGACATACCTCTTGGCAGGTAAATGCTACAAATTAATTCAAAGGCATCAGATTATGTAAAATATAATTAGGGAGGCAAATATGCTGTAAAAGCAGCCTATGTGTGTTTTTAGAACTCAGAAGCAATAGGGAATTTTTCCAAAGTCAACTCATGAGATCCTTTAGGACTTAAATAATAGAAACTCTTTACCTGTCCCAATCACATTATTGAGCTAACTGCTGAATATCAATTTTGCTTTGCTATCAAGTCACGAATTCATGCTGTCCGGGTGGCTTCATTTCTGAAATCTGAAGTAGAAAGGGTGGGGTGGGTGGATGGGGCGGGGTGGGTGGATGGGTGGGGTGAGTATGGAGCACACCTGGCGGTGGTAATTGCCGTGGTAAGGTGTCTTAGACAACAAGGATAATAACCATCCTGATAGAATTGGGGATGCAGTAGCAACAGTAAAAATTATATTAAACTGGGCCTCTTGCCCAGACTATCATAACAGTTTCAAATAAACAAAGTGTAAGAAAAACATTTCATGAGGAACTAACTTGTGAATTGGTGAAGCCAGGCAAGACAGTGAAGTGCTTGCTCGAGGGGGTAGTGCTTTGACCTGCTTGAAAAGCTTCGCCTGACTTAATTGAAATGCCCAATCTAATTAAAAAAATCTAACCATAATCCCACAGGTGCTCCACCTCTTTCTACTGTCAAGATGCCCAATAGGACAGCCTTCGCTGAAAAATGACTGACCTGGAGTGTGTTTCAGCACACAGGCATGATTCCCAGCCTCCTGAGTTAGAGGCAAGCGCTTGTGATTTGCACAGTGGATGTTGGTGTCTCCCTCCGTGATGGTGTATGGCATAGACGAGTGCAGGGTGGCCATCTGCTGTTGAAGAGGGTGACAGACAGAGTCTGTTCCATTGTGGCAGATGACTCTCCCAGTGCTGGCCAGCTGGCTTAGAGAGCACAAATTTGGACAGGGCAGGTGATGCCCAACAGTCCTCTGGGGAGATAACTCCGGGTTCTCTGCCCTAAGTGCTCATATTTATCCTGGTCTTCTTTATACACGCACCAACATTATCACATAGAGCTGAGGTGATACAGTATGGTTTGAAACATGAAGGAGAAGGAAGAAACCTAGGATTAAAAGTGGTTGGTCATAAAGCTGAGACATACCTCTAAATTTCCTAGTAGCCTAGGCAGAAAGAAAAACCCTAATCTATCTATCATATGCTTCCTGTTGATTGGGGAGGAAAAAAGAAGCAAATCAGTTTCCTGTAAGAAATAATGATTTTCTTCTCCATTCTAAACTCTTTTTTGTGTGTGTACACCTTTGACTTGATAGGGGAAACTTAATTTCTTAGGATACACATAAAAAAACTTGTCAATGGCTCTGCATACATGAGGCCCTAGATTAAGTCCCCCCATGTGAGGGTGGCTGGGCACAACAATCAAGTAAAAATAAAACACCCCAAAATTTGTTACATTGCTAGAGTACTTGGCCTGCTGATAGGGAAAGGATCAGAACACAATTGCTCAATGACTAATGAGAATAGGTAATACTCAGCAGTCCCCTGGTACTGGCTGACGTAACCTTATTCTTAAGAACTAGTAGGATCATGATTTTTCCCCTTTTCTCTTTGCATGTGTGTATTTCCCAGAATTTTCATGATGAGCGTGTGTGGCATTTGTCATGGTGATAGGCTTGCTCTGGCACTGCTGGACCTGAGCTCCTCACTCTTCCTTCCCCAGCTCTGGCTCCTGTGCAGCCTGCAGTCTTAGGCGCCCACAGCACTGGCTTCCAGCAGGCTTGGCCAATGGAGGCAGCAGGAAGGGAGCACTCGGGGCATTTTCCCTCTCCCTTGATGGCACTGGTCTCCCTGGCAGCTGCCATCTGTCTTCTGTGACTCCGTTCTCACCAGAAATCTGTCATGGTTGCAGCTTCCTCTGGGCAAGCCCAGTCCCTGGGCTCCGGGAGCAGCGCCTCCTCTTCTTGTCCCTCCAGCCTAGGAATGGCAGCAACTTCCTGCTGCTGCTAGTATCAGGATTGCCTCATAATCCCTTGTTTGACTTCTGAGCTTCTTTCATCTCATTACTTTAAATTTCCTTGTTTTAAATATTCAGAATGGCTTTCGTCTTCCTGGTTGGGCTCTGACACAATGAGACAGAAGTCCATTCGAAACAAAGATGAATGGGCTGGGCATGGTGGTACACACCTGTAATCCCAGCACTCGGGAGGCTGAGGCAGGAGGATTGCTGCAAGTTCGAGGCCAGCCTGGTCTATATAGTTAGTTCAAGGGCAACCTGAACTATACAGCAAGACCCTGTCCCAAACAAAACAAAGCAAAACAAAACAAAACATGAAGGGGACAAGAGATTTAGAGGGACATGAGTTAACATCGTACCCAAAGAAGCAAAAGACTGCAGATCCTGACAGCACACACAGAGCAAAGTCTTTGTGCATAGCAGTGGGAAAGGACTTCTGGTCATCTTAGGTTTGTTTAGATGCATTGGAAACAGAGCAATTTTACTCAGGCTCATAAACTCCAGAAATGAAGAACAAGAATATGTACGACATTGGGGCAAAATAAAACAAAAGCCAAAAATCCAACAAAGCCCCCAATAGTGTTTAGGGTCATAAGACTTGAACTCAAGCGCTGATGAATATTGTGATTGACTCTGCAGCATCCACCCTCCCACCACACACTGCCCTGGAAGAACTGGGCTGTGGCCTTCACTGGATTCTCGTTGACCTCTACATGGTCATATACCCCAGCCCGAGCCAGTCAGCATGCAGCAGCCTTCTGGCCACTGGTGCACTAAAAGTGAAGCATATGACTCCTGTTGAATGACTGCAGGAGAAAAAGTCCTTTCTCCTCTGAATTAGAAAGCTGTAGAATAATGAGAATAAAACTGGAGAGCAAAGCTGGTGCATACAAAAGGGACAATGCAAGACAACTAAAAGTAAACAGAGCAAGATTTCTGATCCATCTGTGCCTGAATCCCAACACTGGACTTTCCTGGTTACATGAGCTCATAGAGTCCCTTTACTGCTTAGTATGATTTGGTTTGAGTTTTCTGTTCTGTGCAACAAAGGCACAGCAATTTTACAGTGGCTGTGTGTTCTTGGGTAGCTCAGTTAATCTCTGATCCTCAGTTTGCTCATCTATGAAATGAGAATACAAGACAACTTACTTTAGAAGATCAAACGAGATAAGGAATGAGAAAGTGCTTTATAAACTGTGAACAGTTGTTGGGATCTTTCTATTATTTCACATATAATCTATGTAATTGTTAATGCAGTTTTATATCTGCCCGATAGACAAAGCATTTTCTTTATCAAGCCTGCAGTTCAGTTTAGTCACACCTCCTTTATTGCTGGATGGCGAGTGTTATCAAGATGAATCAGCAGGAACCATTGTTTCACTCTGTACAGCGCTAAATGATTTACTTTTGAAGTCCCAGGTGACTGTGTACGCTTCCAAGGGCTCACCTCAAAGCCCCCAGGCAAGTGGGCGCAGATTGAGTAACCCTTTGTGTGATCACTCGTAACTCAGCTGTGAAGTGTGTGGCTTTCGTGGCCACCTGCAGTCACCCGTGAAAGGGGGTGTATGACATTCCTGTAACAGAGTGCAAGTTGAGGTGTGTCCAGAAGGGACCCTTTGGTCAGTTCTGCTCTTGCATCTTCAAATTTTGGTTGCTGCCTTGAGGTGATTTGGGAAGTTGAGAGCTGCCTCGGCATTAGGTACTAACTCTTCAAAGGACTCTCCAGCTAAGAACCTCTGGGGAAACAGCAGATAGTGTTTAGATTTTTAAAATCAGTAACAAAATGCTACCTTATAATAACAAAATGTTAAGCATAACCAGTTTATCCAGGGTGATTAGAAAAGGTCTAAAAGTACAAGAGAAGTATGCTATATGTATGTCTTTAGGGTGGGGCTGGGGCTGGCCTTGCTAGCTGTGTTGTCAGGGCAGGAAGAGGACAGTGGGCCTGAGAACTCAAGCCCCCATCACCCACAGGGCTGGGGACAAGAGTTGCAAGTCCAGCTTTGACCTTCCCACCCAGCCCTATTGATTCTGCCTTCCACCCAGACTTCCTCTTTCCCTTTTTCTGTCTGTCTTGCCACTGAGCTAGGTCAGGTCTCTATCATGGATGACCTGGGCTCACCTCTCTATCTGGAGCCCCGAGCCCTTCACCTTGTCCCCAGTCTCCCACTTCCAACCTGCTGTGGGAGCCATCCTTTAAATTTATGCCATTCTGCCTGCGTGCCGTCCCCCACCTAAAGCTTCTCATTAGCTCCCTACAGCTTGTCCTGCAGAACTCGGACACCTTCCAGGGCAAGGAGTTGTGGGATCTGGTTCCTGAGGGCCATCAGGCCAGCTCCTCTGTCACCACCCCTTCCCACACTCCTCCTATTCCTTCCAAACCAAACCAGAGACCTAGGAAACAGCTCCTTAAGGCAATGGTTATTACAATTTCGTGATCATAAAGATCACCTAAGCTTGTTTAAAATGCAGCTCCCTGAGCCACTTCCTGCCAGGGGTAAGTGGGGCTGGGAATCTGAAATTTCTAAGAGCATTTGTCAAAGTCTGAGCTGGTGGCCCTTGAACTGTCTTTGGAGAAATCTGTGTGATCACCCTTGCCACAGTGGCCCGCCTCTTTCCCTTCAGATCCGCCTCCAGGTAGAACCCCTGGAGCACAAGCAGCAGGCTGTGTCCAGCTTTGTTTTCCCAGGACCTAGCCGAAGCTCTCACATCCTGAGCTCTCCACATGTTTATTAAGTGAATCCATGAGTCACAGCAGGCCCCAGATCTTGTCCCTGACAGGAGCAGTCGGGGACAGGGACTGAGCTCAGGGGCTAGCTGGCCCTTGGAGCAGCACCTCGGGGTTTGGAAATGTTGGAGACAGAGGGTGCATGGGGTGTGGTCAGTAGGACCCTGGTCAGGGCACAGGGCCAAAGGAGGATCAGGATCCTCTTCAGTGGTGGGGGGGAGTGAGGTTAACAGCGGATCACCATGAAAGTGGATCCTGCGAGGGAAGGGAGAGTGGACCCAGAACCTTGAAGATGCGTTCAATTAGACTGAGAACTGGTGACTTGGTTCTGAGTCCCAGGTTATTGCTTTAGAGAACAGCAACTGCCAATTTTGTCTGCGAATTAGATACATCTGGAGCAGCATTTTTGAAACCAATAAACAGATGAAAGTCTGATTTCCAAGTTCCACCCCAGGGTTACGGAAGAAGACTCTGGATATATGTGTGCAGGGGATTTCAGAACTCTTTATACCAGGACTTCTGAAAAGTTTTTTCATCCTACATCCACATTTTATCATCCTACACCTGAATTTTTATCATCCTATCAGCCCCCCATGCCCATTCATCTGGTTGTTGACCAGTGGGCCCTTCTTATTTAAGGAGCTATGCTTTTGTTTTTAAATTCAAGGAAAATATTTTTCGGTTATCATCTCTCTGTTTATCTCATTCTGTCCATCTCTCTTGTGTCTTTGTATATAACTCCTATGAGATGAACATTGGAATTTTTAGTCATAACTTCTATGTACCCAAATTTTTATTTTAAAATTTCTTTTTGTTTTTTCTTAGTTTCATATTCTGGAACACTTTCTCAGAATACTTTCTTGGCTAATGTGCTCATTAGTTGTGTCCAGTCTGTTATTTTAACACATCCACTGAGACTTTTATTTTTGTGGTTCATTTTTCATTTCTAAAATATCTAAATGCATGTCATCATAACAACCTTTTCTTGTTTTAGGAATATGATATGTCTTAATTATCTAGAATATTTAATATACAAGACTTTTGTAAAAGTTTTCTTCTGTTTCTTTCATTTGTTCTGTTTCTACAGATGTTGGTTTTAAGATTAGTTTGGTTTTCCTTCCATGAAACTGGTTTACCTTACATATTTGGTACTTTTGGATTGTGCACTTGTTTCTTATCGGATCATCTCTTTATTCAAGCATCTTTGATCACAGCCAGCGAGTTCTGGCCTATGGGCCAAATCTTGTTGTTACCTGTTTTGAAAATAAAATTTAATTGGAACACAGCCACACTTATCTATTTACATATCCCCTGTGGTTGCTTTTGTGCCTTAAGGGCAGAATGAGTAGCCAAAAAAAAGTCTAAAATATTGACTCTCTAGGCCCCTACAGAAAAAATTTGCAACTCTGCTCTGCGTGTCACCATCACTTTACAGGAAATGCAGACATAAGAGGACATGGTAAGCAATGTTTGGCTCACTGATACATCGTCCAAAGCAGAATGGAAGATGCTCTATAAGATCAAAGATCCAGCTTCTGCACATAGGCATAGACATGAACAAAGGGATATGTTCATTTGGCTTAAAAGAGATTTAGAGAAAATATCAACCAAAAGCAATGTGTGGCCTTTACTTGGATCTTCATTTAAACATTCAGACAGATCATCTATAAAGACAGATTTTGGAAACAATGAGAGAAAAATAAACATGAACCCATGTTTCTAATTTTTACTGATATGGAACAAACCATTCTACAATTGAGTGGAGTAAGATAAGAGCCACGTTTCTCTGTTCATGTATGTGTTCTGTGGGCTGGGAATGTAGAGAAGGTGTGTGGCACTGTCTTCTTTGCCTCCGTTCATCTGGAGCTTTGAGTAGGGAGAAGCTGGGCTCTCCATTGCTCAGCTGGGCTCAGCTGGGAGTGCTGATCGGACACCAACAAATGGCCTCTGGATTCTGAGAGAGACCATCATGAAAGGAGATTTCTGAACACTAAACTTTCCAAAAGGACAAGATGGAAGTTAGGAGACTTTTCTTTTCTGACCTCTCCCTAGAAGTCAGCATCTCCACTCTCACAATCTCTTGTTTCAGCAAGGGACCAAAGCCTACCCATGGTCAAAAGGGGAGGAACTAGCCTTGTCCTCTTGATGGGGGAGTGGAAAACTCAGCACTGTAGAAGATGGCCAATATTACAACCACCAGTTTTGGAAAATACAATCTGCCACCCTGGGCTATTAGCTCATGCGCATAAATTATTATTATTTAGGGGTAGGGGTGTGGTTATGGTTAAAAAATTCCTTTATATGTTTACAGAGTCATACAATACTATAGAAGAAAATGGGGACCTGGGATATAGCTCAGCAGCACAGCACCTGCCTGGCAAGCGCAAGGTCCTGAGTTCAATTCCCCGGTCCAAAAAATATTAAAAAAAAAAGCTTAGAAGAAAATGAAAGGCAGAGGTGGTGGTGGCATGAGACTGACAGAATGCTGATAGTTGTTGAAATGGTGTTAGAAGGTGGGTTGTTTTATGAGATTCTCTTTAATATGTTTGATATTTTCCTATATGAACAAGGCCCAGAAAGAAAAGGCTGGTGTTGCCTGCTTACAGGAGTGCTTTCTTTACACCTCAGGCGGCTGTGGTGAGTCAGAGTCCTGGTGCTAAGTGGGGCTGCTGTTTGATCAACCTGGAGGCTCAGGGCTTTCTGTTCCTCCTGGGTGTTGCCAGCTCCCAGAGAGGCCTGCTTACTTCTTCGCCTGGGTGCCTCTGCTCCCTGCTCTGGCTGGAGGCAGGTGAACTCCTTCTTCTTGGCACTAATAGGCCGAGGGAGGAACCCAGCAGCATGGCCACCAGGACTGGGTGCTTGTAACTTGCCCATGCTGCTTGCAGCTCCCTCCTGGTCTTCACACCTGTCGGCTCTGTGTTTGGAGCAGTCAGGAGCCGCTTCCCCCTCCCGACAGCCTGCTTTAGGATGGCATTTCTTTGGTTAATTTGGTCCTCTCTGACAAAACCTTATTATGGGCTGAACCTTACCAAAAAAATCCTTTCCTTCATTTTTTAGAAATGCTGGTTGTGTTCACCAGCTATTTGGATTTAATACTTTCAACGTTTTTCAAGGCATTCTACACAACCAATCCCAATTATGCTTCTTGTAGGCTTTAAAAAATCCTACGTTAAAACTTACATGTTTACCATGTGGAATCTAGAAAAACAAGATGACACAAAAGTGGGGCCTATTAAGGAAGGGAAGGGGCCAGGGAGAGGAGGGTCATAGGGAAGGGAGATGTGATCAGAGCCTGTTATATTCATGTATGGAAATATCACACTGAAAGTCATTATTTTGTATAATTAATATGAGCTAATTACAATAAAAAAGAACATACATATTTCCCATTTTTTTTTTACAAACTTCTTGCAATATAATGGCTCATGATTGCATATTATATCTTATATGCATGCTTTAATTTACAATTTCTGGACACTTACATTTGGGGTGTTTCCAAATTTTTGCTTTTAAATTTATTTACTGGGATAAATGTCTTTACTTCAATGTTTAGTCTCATCATTAATCTTATCTCCCTAGGATGAGTTCTGAACTGGGAAGTTACAGTAAAAGAACATGATATGTAGCATGACCAATGATGATATATTGCAAATTTATTTTCAAAGAATTTTTATCCATTTATGGTTTTCTTCTCAACCCCAGCAGTGTAAGGGTATCCATGTCAGAGAGAAAGAGAGATAGAGAGAGAGAAGAAAAAGAAAACTAAAATGTTCCCATTAGAATTTTTATTAGATTAAAGTGCTAATGCTTAAGAATTATATATGCAATAAGTGAATAGAGTTATTTGAAAAAAATCAAATCAGAAACATATGGAGGAGCAAAGAATGAATTTCCCTTCATCCCCGCAGTAACTTCTCTCCAAAAGCAAAATATTTATTGAATATTTCCAAAAATCCTTATGAATTATATTTATATAGGTAAATATGTAACTACTATTGGATTAATTTTTCAACTTTTTTTATTCTTCATTAGCATTACACACTATTTCTGTCCCTGTAATAGTTGTTAGAAAATGTAGTACATGTATCAAACATAGTACTTTCTCAATGTCTGGAATTGAACCGTAGCTGTATCTTTACCAAATAAGAAGCCAGAAGCCTTGGGAAGTTCTTACTTCCCACTTGTCTCCACCTTCTACCCTGTGGAAATGATTCAATTCCAGGTTGGCTCATTAGTCTTATACGGTGTTTCAGAATCATTTAGAATTTATTACCCATCTTTGTACCCAAACTTTTTTGTGTCTCACATTCTTTGTTTTTTTCGTTTTGCTGAAATATGTTATCAAGTAATCCTTTCAGAAAGGAGCTGAGGATGATAAACTTTGTGAATCCTTTCCTGTTCAAGGAAGGACTGCACCTAATCCTTCCATTTGAATGTTGGGTGTGGGTTTTAGTCCCTTTTATGTTGTCATAACAGAACAGGTGAAGCTAGGATTTTATAAAGGAAAAGGGTTTATTCGGCTCATGATTTTAGGGGCGGGAGGGTCCTAATAGCATGGCCCCACGGCCCTGTTGAGGGCCCTCTGGCGGAGAAGTGGAAAAGGGACGGAACATGAGCGCAAGGTGTGTGAACATGCCTAAGCAAGGAAGCGAGAGACCAGGGAGGGATCCGGCTCTCTTTCTACAGCCGCCTCTGTCACTGCAATCGGTCCACTCCTACCGGACCTGACCACTCCAGAGATGCGGCTTTCGTCCATGTATAACGGTGGTGCCTTCTGACCTAAGTACCTTCTACTAGACCCTCACCGCTAAAGGGCTGCTTCACTTTAGCATTGCCACATGGGACCTGCCTCCAGAACATAAATCCCTTGCAGACCAACTGAACCCAAATCATAGTACTTGGGTATAGAATTTTAGGTGAAAAATTCTTTTGCCTCGGTGGAAACATTTGCTCTATTATCTTCTATTATCCAGTGTTTTTGATAAGAAGGCGATTGCCAAACAGATTGCTGTTTCTTAGGAAAAAACAAATTTTTCCTCTCTGAAATCTTTAAGGCTCTGTTCTCACAGAAGTTGGCCCTGGGGTGTGGCCCTGGGAGAGAGGACCTCTTTACATCCCTGCTGTAGGACTTTTATTGGTCTTAACCTTGTGCCAACGCAGAGGCCGTGCACTGTAACTTCTCCAGAAATAATGTAGGCAACAGGGGACACATAGCCTCTGCCTGCATAGAGAATATATTTAAGGGTTGAAGCTTAGACAAAGATTGTAAGCAAGTATTGTGAACTGAAGGAAAATAATATTTTGATATAATAGAGAATAATGGATTAGGTATGGAGCTCCTTAAGATGAGATGATATTTAGAAACTTTTACATTTTTAAAAAATTGTGATTGATAGGCCTTTTTAAAATAAAGACCTCTGACTGTCCTTGGATTTGGAAATCTTATTTTGTTTTTAAAATGTTGAATTTCACTGTGACATGACTTCGTTCTATTGGTACTTATTGATAGTCTCTTTGTAACTGCAACTGAATCTCTATTAGAACTTTTCACTCAATCCGGTGTCTATTTTCAACATTTTTTCTTCTTCGTGCTACACTTTGGATGTTTTATTCTTATATATTTTTTGTTCACTAATTCTTTGCTGTATTTTCTAATTTGCTGTTAAACCTGGCCACAGAGTTCTTAATTTTGGCCATTGCCTTTTCAGTTTTATAATATCTATTTTGTTGTTTTTCAAATCTGCAGTGCCACTCTTATAGTTTGTAGATCTTTTAAAAATTATAAAATTTACGTTTATCTCTTTGAAATAGTAAATGTTGTTGTTTTATAGTCTATATCTTTTATCTATCCAAGTGGAGAGTCTCCATGGGACTGCTTCTGCTATTTTTTCTGGTTCTTATTTAGTGTTTTTTTTTTCTTCATGTGTCTAGTCATTCTTGATTGTGTCCAAAATATCTAATATTGTAGAAGTGCAGAAGTAATTTGGGGCATGGGATGTTATCTCCCTGCTTAGGTAAGTTTTGTTTTTACATCAAATTAGCATACTTAGCTATTTGGGAACTCTAGATGGTAGATGATAGTAGAGTGGAACTTCAAAGTACGCCTTGAAGGGAATTTTGGAGGCCCCTGGATAGTGTGAAACTGAGGTGCTGTCTGTGGGAGAACTGGGTTGCCTTTGCTCAGAACATGAAGTCCTTGAGTTTCCCAACTCCAAGTAAGGCTGGGAATATATTTTATCAGAGAACTGGTCTAACCCTGTTCTTTGATTTTAAATTTTATCTTTTATCCTTGAGACACTGACTAGCAAACTTAGCCTTTCAGCCTTTCTTCCACATTGTGAACGTCCCCATTACAAAAGCATCCTGAGTGCTGGGCTCACTTCCTGGATTCATGTGTTCCCCAGGATCCTTGTCCTTAAAGTCTCTCTCTCTCTTTCCTTCTTATATTGAACTGAAAATAAGCTTTTCTCTGGTAAAAGATCTTTCTATGAAATGAGGTTTCCTGTGAACCTCAAACAAGGTTCTCAAACATGACTGACTGCTTGGGGAGCTTTTAAATGGCCCAACCCTGAGAAGTGTGGAACTTGGTAGAACACTTTTTAAGAGGCCATTACCACATATGACTTGAAGGTGATTTCCAGGTCCTTAGTGTCCACAGGTTTCTTTCCTGAGAAACTGCTTGATGTTGGGGTGTCCCCACTCACACAAATGTTTCTACCAACAAAAGAAAGGTAAACTTTTTATTCACATAGGCTCTCACTGTGCTGCAATGCTCCAGGTACAAAAACCTCTCAGAGCACCAAAGGGAGCAATTTAAAATGTTGGTGTAGCTATTACAGAGCTTGGATCTAACAAAAGAATTACAAACTTCTGTGCAAGTTAGGTAGTTTCCAGTTCTGTTTCAACAAAACAGAAGGCCTGATCACTTGAAGAGTGCTAATAATAACCATGCAATTTTTGGCCTTTAACTCAGAAGGAATTCAAAGAATTGGAAATACTACTTTAAAAAACCTCTTTCCTTTTTAGAATCTGCAGGTCTAAAAAAAAGGGAAAAGAACCTACCTTATTAATAAATACTAATTACGCTAATTAATCACTAATAACATATTTAATTATATAATTATGTGTTTAAATAGTTTATTTTTACTTCATTAAGTAAAGAATTTATTAAATTGTCATTTATGCACTTATATAATTAATCACTAATTACCATACATACACAATGTTTTAAAGTATTCTATCCTTTTTGTTAAGTGACTTCCAGTACAAATTTTAATTTTTTTGTTTGTATTTTCCAAAGTTTATATTTTTAAATAAATTTGGCACTAACAATAATATTTCAGTCAAAAAGAAATTATTTTTCACACTTAGATCCTTATTTGTAGGAAAATTTAAAAATTAAAACATCAATTTATATGAATTTTTGTGTATACTGTAGGGTAATTAATAAAAGACATTCAAAATATATTTAGATAAAATTTGTGCCAGGAAGTGAAATGGAAATGCAAGTTCAAAAAGAAATAGAACCCATGTAGCTGGGATATAGCCCAGCAGCAGAAGTGCCTGCTTGGCAAGTGCAAGGTCCTGAGTTCAATTCCCAGTAACAAAAAAAGAAATGGAACAAATGTAAAACTTACCACTGATCAAAAAAGATCTTTTTATATTTTTAGTAATGGAGGATGGTACATGATATACACTGATAGGGCATTTATAAACCAATAACTACATTGAAGAAAATATTATCATTTTAAAGTGTCAGTGTTGTAATATGCCAGAAACTATATTCTTTGGAACAATTTAACTAATGATGACTAAATTTGGTTGCCAAATTTAGGGGTGATTTAGGCTAACGTAGATATTTCAGGGAACACAGAAGCTGAGAAATTCAGAGACTGAAGCGCAGTGGGTCTGGGGGGAGGTTTCCAGCTTGAGTGGGGACCTGGGTGTTGCTGAATATTGGTGGGTATGGTGATGCCACTGCTTCTCTACTGCTTTTACATGGACACCATACCATCTTGTTGCATCTATTTTTAGAAATGTTATTATTAGTTTTATAAAAAAAATGACCCTGCTCTATTATAGGTTACTCATAATTAAACTTCCTCACACAATCATCACTCATCAAATTCGTTTGCATTTCTCCCCAAAGCAACTGACTCCAGGAAACTGCTCAGCTGGTCTTTGTAGATTCTTTCTCCAAATGTTTATATTTAAGGGGCTTAAATAAGATGGTTCCCCATATCCTACGTGTTATGGTTGATACACTGTGCCAACTTGAGAAGTTTAGAAGGTTAACTAAGTGACTCAGCGGGGGCCAGGGTTCTTATTTTGTAAAAATCCTGAGCCTGTGTGTCTTAGTTACTTTTCTCTCCTTGCTGAGAAAAAATGCCTGACACCCAAAATTAAGGAGGAAAGGTTTATTTTGCTCACAGTTTGTGGAGGTTTCAGTTCATACTTGGCTGGCTCCAAGGCAGAATGGCACATGACAGAGGGCAACTGTTCATGGTGGAGGAAAACAGCAAAAGCAACAAGAGCAAAAAAGGAGGAGTGACAAGCAAGCCTCTTTCCCTCTCTTACATTGTATGCGAACTACCTGCCCCAGGGCAGGTGTAGCACTCACACCCCAAATCCCAGCAACTGACCGTGGATCAATCATAAAGTCTAGAAGCCTGCCCCATGACTACATGAGGCTTTGAGGCGACATCTAAACAGAAACCATAACACTGTACAAGAGGAATGCATAGAGGTGGTGTGGGTGGAGATAGTCTGCTTATAATATAAGGGAGGAAAAGAGTCTTGCTCTCCCCCTTTTTGCTCTTGTGGCTTTTGCTGTCTTCTACCACTGAACTGTTACTCCTGTGCCATGCCACCCTGCCTTAGAGCCAGGGGACTATGGACTGAAACCTCTACAAACTGTGAGCTAAATAAATATTTCCTTGCTTAATTTTGGGTATCAGGTATTTTGTCTCAGCAACGAGAAAAAAGTAACTTACACAGAATTTGGTACCAGGAGTGTGGCCATTGCTGTGACTGTACCTGACTGTGTGGTTCAAGAGCCTTTGGGAATGGCTTCTGAAAAGAGTTTGGAAAGGTTTGGAGATGTTGCCTGAAAGAGTAGCACTGGGACACCTTAGTCTGTTCTGTATAGGAGATTCTGGTCAGAGCTCAGAAGACCAGAAAACCAATAAAGATCAGAATAGGGAGGCTTTTGCTGGGAAGAAGGACTGCATTGGCTGTTGGACTTGAGACAATGTGTATTATGGCTTGGCAAAATGTTTGCCTGTATTTTGCTTGTCCAGAGACTTTCCCTGAGACGAAGGGCAGCAGACTAATTATTCTGGCAGAGGAAATTTCAAGGCAGTTGAATGTTGAGGCTGTGACATGGATATTAGCCAGATTTATGTTGAGAATCTAGAGCACAGAGCCCAGCAGGATGATTTAAAGTGTTGTGAGTTTGACCAGAAGGGAAGCTCCAGTAAAATTGTTAACTACGAAGGTAAAGCTGAGGAGATCATGACTGCTGAGAAGGAACAAGAGGATATAAAAGATGGCCTGAGGGTATCACAAGAAGCAGCAAGTCTCCAACCTTTGCAGCCTCAAAACTGTAAAAGTGAAAGACTTTGCTTTGAGAAGAAAGCCACAGGGCACCATGTTCCAGAATGGTGGCAGCCATGCCATGCACTAGAATGGCAGCAGCATAGAAAATCTGTTCCTCAGAATTGGATTCAGAGTGCCCAGTGAGAGAGGAAAGAGAGAGGAAAGCCTGGCTACAGCTCCAGCTGGCAGCAGATCTTGGCATCATCCATGTGGTGCTGATTTTAGGTGCCTGCAGAATGAAAGAGTTCTGAGGCTAAAAAGGCTTCCATCCAGATTTCAAAAAAGGCCTGGGAGACACGGCAGTGTGTCCCCGAGAGGGCCATATGTGAAGCTGTGAGAGTGAAGCCAAAGGTGCAATGGAGACCCCAGAAGGTTGGAAAATCCAAGAATGTGGGTCTTCTAATGAGAGCTACAAAGAGGGAGCAAAGAGGTCCTAAGAGAGAAGCCATGGGAGCTATAACCACCAGAAGTTCCATAGAGGTGGAGCCGCACAAGCTCTTTGGTGCTCACGGTGTGCCACAGATTGCCTCAGATGCTGGACATGGAATTATAGGACTTAATGTTTTCTCTGCTGGATTTTGTACTTGCTTTGGTCCCAATCCTTTGCATTCCCCTGTTTGTAACTTTTGGAATGAAAATGTTTATATTATGCCATTGAATGTTGGAAGTGTTTAACTTTGTTTTCATTTGTACAGGGGATTGCAGCTAAGGATTTGCCTTAAATCTTGGAGGAGACGTGAGACTTTTAGCAGTGCTGAAACTGTTAGGACTTTGACAACTCTTGCAGATGGACTAATGAAGGGAAGTGCATGAGTCTTTGCAGGGCTAGGGGTAGAATGTTATGGTTCTAATGTAATATAATGTTGATAGACTTAATACTGGTTCTTAAGGATTGTTAAACCTGTGTTATAATGTTCAAGTTGTGAAATGTTAAGAATAAGCATGTCTTTATCTGGAAACTGGTTTAAAGTGTCTAGTTGCCAAGTTGAGAAGGAGGTGGATTGTTATGGTTGATACATTGTGTCAATTTGAAAAGTTTAGGAGGTTAACTAAGTGACTGAGCAGGGGGCCAGGGTCCTTTGTAAACATCCTGAGCCTGTGCAAGAGGAATGCACAGTGATGGTGTGGGTGAGGATAGCCTGCTTACAATATAAAGAGATGAAAAGAGGTTTGCTCTCCCCGCTTTTGCTCTTGTTGCTTTTGCCATCTTCTGCTGCCTTGAACTGTTGCTCCTTTGCCATTCCACCCTGCCTTGGAGCCAGTTCAGTATAGACTGAAACCTCCACAAACTATGAGTTAAATAAACCTTTCCTTCCTTAATTTTGGGTGTCATGTATTTTGTCTCAACAATGAGAGAAAAGTAACCAAGATATTATGGATGTCTAATGTATGCAGAGCTCCTTATTGAGAAAAGATTGGCTTGCTACCTTCTTCTGGGAGTGGGTTTCTTCTCTTATAATTTACTCCTTGGTCCGTGTTTTAAGCTCTGCCATCTGAAATTCCCAGCCACCTATGGGATAGCTCTTCCCTGTCTCCCTGCGATATGAGTGAACAGAATTTTCAGATGGATCAGAGGTGATCACATAGGAGGGGCACACGAAGAACATGGAGGGAGCTCAGGGCCTGGTCAGTAGAGTACTAGTGAACAATTATGGAGTGGGAGCGGCTGAGTGACTTTTAGGATCATATGCATCTCACATATTTAAATTGCTTGTTACCTTGTGATGCAGCCATGGATAGTGCTGTGCATCGAATGTGCGCCACCCACCCTACAAGGTTTATTGGAAACAACGCCCACTGCAGTGTGTTGACAGGTAGGACCTTTAAGGGGTGGTGTGATGACACCACCAAGACTATTGCTGGATGTCATCACCAAGACAGCTGCTGGATATCAGCACTATGCATTTGGATTCCTCAGTCTCTAGACCATGAGCTAAATAAACTTTTATCTTTTATAAATTATCCAATCTATGGTATTCTGTTATAGCAGCAGTGGATAAAGATACTTCATTTCTTCCAGTATTGAGCAGATTTTGCAGCACACATTTCAGTTAGTGGAGCCTCAAGAAGGCAGAAGTAAATGAGAAGAGGCATCACAACATGTTTCAGGTGACCAG